CCTAGCTTTTGTGGTTCCCGAGTTGAAAGTTGCGGACAAGTTGTTGCAGACACACACACACACACACACAGACAACCCTGTGACAATATGCGTTTTGTAATGCTGTTACACAGCACAAAACGTATAAAAAAGCAATACAGCATGAAATAGAAAGTTATAATAAGAAGGAATAAATAAAGAGAAACAAAGAAAAAAACTTCAACTAAAACTTCAGTTGGGCACTTTCTAGTTGCTTTGACCAATGGTACATTGCCCAGTGGTCACTCCACTGGTCACCGCTCAATTTACTTCGCTCTCTCAAGGAATTAGTAGCTCAATTACCCTCCCAAAAAAAGCAAACTAGCAAGGCTTTTGCGAATAACAATAACTCATCCCGAACGTTCGTCCCCTAAGCCAAGAAAAGGTGGTTTACGAATTTTCCCAAGTACCAGTTTTTCTTAAAAAAAACTTTTTTTTTAGATACCAATTTTTTGATTTTTTCTAGGCCATAAACAGGGGCTTTACGAATTTTTTCCCCAAATTAGCAGTTTTTTTAAAACTTTTTTTCAATATGAACTTTTCAACTTTTTTTAATAAAAAGCTTGCTTGGTTTTTTTGCTTCTGCTTTATCATTAACCGCCGTTTCGGTCTTCTTTTTCGGCTTATCACCACCAGAACTCGCTGGTGCCGCACCTAAAAATAATGTACTTTTAATAAATAATCCTTTCAGCATAAAAATTACGATTTATTTACTAAGTAAAGTCTCACATGCTGACCAAATTCCTAAATTTTTCATAAAAACAATGAATTCTCAAGAGCCTAAACAAGAATCCCTTACCTCCTTCTGCTAGTTGTGGTGCTTTGTATTTAGCAATTTCAGTCCTTTCTGTTTGCATTTCACCACCAGAATCCGACTTACTGCATTTGAAAAGGTTACGAATTCGAATTAAGCAATTTTTTCTTTTTTTTTGTAAAACGAAAATGTATTAGTATGTAAATAATGTTATAGTAGTTTTTTTATATATGTAAATAATGTTATAGCAATTTTTATACATGTTATAGTAATTATAGTAATGTTATAGTAATTTTTAAATAATGTTATAGTAAATAGTAATTTTTTTTTCAAAATTTTTAATTAGAAAAGCGAAACGTACGAATTACGTTAGTCTAAAGTCGCCCCCTCCCTCACCTCTCTTTGTCTATCAATAGTCACTTTTATTGATAAGAAAACATATTATTGTCCAAAACAGAGTAAGAGATAAGGAACATAAACAAAATAAACAAAATTAGAGATAAAAATCAATCTAAGTTTGCAAGAAGGCATGCTTGAATGCCTTCTTGCAGTCTGTGTTTCATCCCTTAGCTGTAAATACTCGTCCTAACATCAAGCACCCCCGTTAACAGGACTACTGACGACTTTCCTCCTTTCGAGAGTTGCTTAAAAAAGCCCAGTGCTGACAAATCTGACTCCTTGTTAAGCACTACTGGCCAATCTGCCATCGAAGCAAATAAATGCACCTAAACGGGCTGGTTGTTCCTTGAAAAAATGTAGTCGAACCAAACATGTTCAAATACCGAAACAACGCCAAATACCTCTACAGCACGTGCACCATTTTTAAGATTCAACCAGCTCTTTTAATAATAAAAACGGTCATTTTGCAGAGGCGATTTGTGAGGGGAGGGGGAAGGACGGGGAAGGAGTAAGGGGGAAAA